TTTATTTGATACCCCCCCCCCCCCCTCAACACAATATACCCATCAAAACCAATAATAAATACTTTCATCTAAAAGCTATAAAAATTAGCTATTATTTATACCCATATCGATATTTTGTTTTAATAAAAATATTCATGACCCCCCAGACCTAGACACGCCCATTAGGAAGAGATTGACCTCCTGTTGAGCTGATTTTTTGATTAGCTCTCAATTGATATCCTTAGACGTTTTTAGGAGAAACTGTACGTATACGACCAATATTATAACCATTATAGAGAGGTTTCCGTGATAATTAGAAATTTAACTATATCCGTATTTGGGACAAAATTATAAAAATTTTTATGGATTGGACTGGACTCGGAAAATATTCCTCAAAATATAGACTTGGATCTTGCTTGGGAAAATCCTTTAAAAATCATTATGGGATGTGCTAGGAAAAAATTTTCAAAATTATTATGGGTTTAGCTGGGCTTGAGAAATTTTTTTTTTAAATTATAAGGTTAGGGACGCTTGGAATTTTTTTCTAAATATTGTGACCTAGCAAATCGCGATTCATCTCATATTAAGATTTTGAATAAAATAGATAAAGATTATACGTCATATTTTTTTTCAAGTAAAAAATCAATGCGATAAAATGAACTAGTTTTTTTTTTTAATGTTTTTATAAACTTTATTCGGTAAAAAAATTAAAACATGAACATGAACATTTATATACACTATTGAATTAAAAATATATATTAAAAACAAAAAAATCAATATAAAAACATATAATTAAAAGAAGGGAAATTAAGAAAAAAAAAATTAAAAAATTATTAAAAAAAAAGAAGAGGGATATCTAATTAGGTGTGGTCCACGGGGCTTAATGACCCATGAATGGATATACAGTTTGAATGGCAGATTTCGATTGAAATCCTTTGGCGGAGGTAGAAACCTTCTTTCGGATCACCTGTGATTAATCGTAACCTTTGCCCTATTGTTTTGAATAATTTTAAGGCTTGGGGTCAGAATGATCCACAGGTGTCTGAGACTACCGGAGCGAATAAAATATTATTAAGGTGGCAATATTTATTTGTTTTTGTATTCTCCGCTTTTGAGATGGAGTTGGCAGAAAAAGATCTGGCAAAACGATCAACGCAGGTATAGTCTCAAGCGAGAGGTAAACCTTGGTTCCAAGGGACTAACGTCAAACCATCCGGTCTGGTTTGATTATCTGAGCTAAGACCGGTAGGTTCCAGTGTGGAGGGAGTATTTGTAGATCTCAGCGTTCTATTGATTATTGAATTAATGGCATAATGTCTAGGAAGTCTGCCTTTTGAGAAACGACAGTGTAGGGGGTGGTGTCCTAGACTATCAATGTGAGATTCACATAGGACACAAGTCGTAGGGGTTACGATATCGCAGCCTAAGCGAAAGCCTATAGCTATTCTGAGTTCTTCGTTGGTAAGTAGTAGGCCTAGATTAGAGCTAGGGATAGTTTATAACCATTCATATCCAAGATGGCATATGGGTGGAGCTGGATTTATTTGATCTGATAAAAGGGTCGTATTATGGACATCGAGTATGCATGGGGTTGAGCTTGGGTGGAGAAAAAGAGATGGAGATTTTCTTTGAACAGCTTTGAAGTGTAAGTAATCGACGCAATTTTCAAATTTTTTAAATATGTAATGACTGAAAACATTCATTCTTGGTCTTGATGGGTATGACTTCGTCTAGAGGTAAATAGAGGAGGGGGTAGGGGAGAGGGTAATGCCCATAAAATACAAACGAGGATCAATACATAAAAAGCCTAAAAAATAATAGAGTATTATTTAAAAATTATAAAATATTTCACAATTAGCAATTTTTGAAAATGATATTATAATATATACATGTATTTTAAAAAAAGATTTTTCCCAAGCTAAAAATATGACTGAAACGATTAACCTACCAGCTTCCAATAAAGAAAACATTCAACTATATGGTATCACTAAAAATTAAATGTTAATTGTTTATTAAAATACATTAGCAATCAAATTATCTTCATCTCAAAATATTTCAAAAAATATGTTAGGCACTCAAGTTAAGATACCAGAGAGTAAACATTTTATTTTTTATATTTAATATAAAAAAAAAATAGCAACAAACTTATATCATTTTCAAAATATTAAAAATTAAGGCCCTCATTCGAAAACTATTACAGCTATATTTTGTGTTCATTTTCAAAATATTAAAAATTAAGGCCCTCAGTCGAAAACTATTACAGCTATATTTTGTGTTTTAATTTTTATTAAATATAAAATAAAAATAGCATTCGATTTATCTTCATCTCAAAATATTTCAAAATACATACACGTACGCAGGAATTTGGTCTGGGAGGGGGGGATAATAAAATTTTTTAAGAAATATTATTGTTTTTTAAAAATATCAAGCATAAATTTATTAGGACTAATAACTATTTCTAATACACAATTTTAAATTAATGTGAAATATAAAAAAATTATATGTAAAGAATCACTTAAATGACCCAAAATAGAAATTTGAATTTTTTGAGCTTTAAAATTTATATATAAAGTATAAAAAATTTTAATGTTAGAAATATAAATTAATACACAAAAAGCTTAGGGAATAATTATATTTTGTATGTTATATATTTACAATGTAAAATCCAATCTTCGTTGGGATTGAGCTAATTTTTCAATTATCTCATCCTTGCTTGTTGTCAAATGACTATGAATATTCAAAAGATCCAAACCTTTCAATCTACTTTCAAAAGTTGTACTTCTTGGTATGTTTTTCAGAGACCTGCAGGCCGGCCGGGCCTGAAATTTTTTAAAAAAAACACCCGGGCTGAGCCTGAATTTTTTAAAAAAACATCTAGGCCGGGCCTGAAAATTTTTTTTAAAAAAATATCCGGGCCGGACTGTATATTTTAAAACAGCCTATATTTGAAATCGTTATTATTAGCTATAAAAATCAAAAATAAATATAATTTATTTTAAAAAAATCCGGGTCGGACCTGAAAATTTTATTTTAATAAAGGCCAGGCCGGGCCTGAAAATTGAGCTTAGCCCTAAAAATCTTTAAAAAATCCGGGTCGTGCCTAGCAAATGGTACCTCTGCAGGGCTCTGTTATTCTTCTTAAAATGAGAATGTTCTCTCATTAATTTACTATTGAAAAGAGTTGCTAATATATATAAACCCTTTTTTTACATTGGGAATATAATCTAAAATGTGTTTGAAATAATGCAGAGCATCCATAGCACTTTTTGGGACTGTATCAACCATAGTTAATCTTATAAACATAGTTATGCTAATAAGGCATCATAAGATACTTTAACATCTTCATGATAAAAATCCAACAAATATTTTTTTTCTATCACCATCTGAAAAAGGTTTGGAAGGCATGGAAATAATATTTGCAGATTGGTAAGTGCTGCATAATGAATTAAAAACCATTCATTTATTTGGTTTATAAATGTATTTGAATCTAAGATATTCTCTTCTACTGATCCTATATTAATGTTTTAACTATGAGCTTGCCTTGCTGCAAGTCGAGTGAGACAAATATTAAACACGTATAGCTCTGCTTTTAACTTAACAATAAACATATAAAACATGAAATTCTTCATAAACATTAGCCCTAATTTCCTTGAATTCTAATAAAATGCTCTCCGCTATTCTCATCTTCTTAATCAAGTCATCATGTTTTTGAAAAGTAATACATAAAATAGTTGTACATTCTAATGAGAAATTTGGAATAAGCATTGAATCCAATAATTTTCTTGCTTCTAAGGAAAAATTTCTTTCAGGCCATTGTGATATGTCAGTAATAGCAAATAATCGGCTCTTCTAACTCCATAAAAGCTGTTACTGCTTGATGGCGGAGACTCTATCTCGTAGGACAAGGTTGCAATATCTTTCTCCCTGTTGGACAATTTCAGAATAATTATTATTTGACTAGAAATTTAAAAATGGTAGATAAATATTACGCCACTAAAAATTTGAAAATAATAAGATAATATTACCCCGGAAAACTTGAAATCGAAATTAATTGATAAACTTAGTTATGAATGTGATAATAAATGTAATTAAATATATATTTTATATGAGATAGGAATAAATATTAACAAATATAAATTAATATACTGTGTAAATTTAATTCAAAACATTTCCATATTTATTAATTTATTTGAAAATAAAATTACTTGACTTGTAAAAAGTTGTTAAAATAACATATTTATATATTCTTATCAATTTTTACAAGTTAAAATTTTTATTTACAAACGAGTTAAAAAATATGAAAATGTTTAAACTAAATCTGCACAACACTCTAAACAAAAATATTTTTGAAAAAATATATCCGGCATCTGCATTTTTTGGCTTTGGGGGAGGGGGTATGTCCCCCTGCCCCATGCCCCCCCCCGCTGCTTACGCCAATCAAAATATATCTTAGGCACTCAAATTAAGCTACCAAATAGTAAATATTTTTCCTTTATTTTATATAACAAAAATTATAACAACCAAAACTTTAGCCTGCAATGAATATTCTCTTCAAAATCTTTCAAAATTTTTTAGGAAACCATAAATAAAACAAATAGTTATTATATATTTAGAATGTTTTATTAAATTTAAAAATAAATATAAATGTTTTAAATATAATAATTTGAAAAGGTATTCTTCTCATAATTACTCAAAAAATGTTTTAAAGTAGAAAAATCTTTTAGTTCTAAATTATATCTTAATTCAGAACGCCTTTATTTAACTAACAGCAAGTTATTTTATTTTTTTATTCAACACGCTTGTTTTTTTTTCTGTAACAAATAAATATTAAAATAAATTTTTTATGTATTTTTTTATCTAAATATGGTAATTTTAAAATTGATGCTTTTATTATTTAATATTTTTTTTTTCGTGTAATATCGATCGATAAGGCTTTCTTTTTTCAATTTATAGTCAACAGTTGTTATTATTTTTTTTTGAAATTTATAAAATATTTCTTTAAAAAAATTTCAAAAATATCAATCCATAAAAAAAAATCATTATTTTCGAAAAATAACAGAATGAATAACTGGAAAAAAAATCTTAGGAAAAAATATCCCATCCTGAAAATAATTCCCCTGAAAGTAATTCCCCTGAAAATAATTCCCCGGAAAAAATGGTTAGCATTTTTCATTACTTTTGGCAGTATTTAATTAAAATTGGACAGTAAAAAATATAATTTTGCAAGTTTTATATTGATTTTGTATTCAGTCAGTTAAATTCTTCAAGTAGGTAAATACTTTAGTAAAATAATTTTATCAAATAGAGGGAATTAGATTGAATTGCAAATTTCCTATTTCGCCACAGAATTTATAATTATATTATTTAATAGCTTATCCTTATAAAAACAAAAAAGGGCGCTATTTAAGAGTTAGTAAATTGTGAAAAGCCTCTTATCTCCAACTGATGTTTAAATTTTTAATATATTTCTAAAAAAATGATTAAAATTTGTGTAAAAATAATTTTTTTTTGAAAGTATAAATTTGATTTTCAATAAATATCTAAAAGTTGATGGACATGTGTAAAGGTGAAGTAGATTTATTTAACTTTCGTTTTATATTTAAAACCTCAAATCCTCGAAGGAATTTGACTTTAAAAAATATTTCTATTTAATTAAATAGAGCAGATCCGGGTCAAAAAATGATATGAATTTATGCCGGGCCAAAATAAAAAATCTGAGCTGGTCATAATATTTTGCATAGTATCAGAGAGACTAGGTATTCAATCGTTTATTTTATAAATATTGCTTTGTTTAATTTTCACTAAACCTGGGATCAGGATAAGTCCATAACATACATTATATTTAATTTTGAAATTTTTAAGGTGTTGATATGAACTTTAACTATTACATGGACAAAAAACATGCAAACATTGATGTTATATAATGTTGATCTAAGGTAGAATTAATAATTTTTCAAATATATTTTAATTTATATAAAATATAAATTACAGGCATAATTTAAAAAATAGATTTTAGTATAATTCTTAGAAAATATTTAACCTCACTTAAGTATATTAAGGTTTAGAAATAAATTATTTAAGGCTTTGGCTATGTTAAATTTTTATAGAAATAATGTAGTTTTGAATAAAAATTTTGTATTTAATTGTTAAAAATCGTTAACTTTTAATATTTTTCCTTTCAAATTATAGTTCGTAGTGATATTTTATAGATTATGGCTAAAGTTTTATTTAGATTTTTTAGGGTAAAATGATATTTACAAGTTTATATTAACTTATTTACAAAAGTCTTCTTCCCACTACGCCTAAAAATAAGTAAGTATATATTTATCTAAGGTAAATTCAATATAATATTAATAAGGATTTTAAGATATATATATAATATAATTAAGATGTTATATCTTAGAATGAAATTGATCTATTAATCTTATATATAAAAAGATATTTTATTTATCTTATTTTTAATTCTGTTAATTTTATTCTATATAAAATTATTAATAATTTTAATCATCTGATATGGGGTTATTAAATAATTTCGCGATCAATGTTATTTTAATGGAGGAATATTGGAGGCTATTATTATCAATTTCTTCTTCAATATGAAATATAGTAGGAAATAGTAAATGTAATTTATAAATGCTAAGCTTGAGATATACACAAAATCAAAAATATCCTTTTATTAAATTCTTATTACCATGAAGAAATACATTGAAATCTATTTTAAAATGGGTTAAGTTCTAATTAGATGTTTGTGACAAATATATTTTGTCAGGTCTACGTGAAAATAATGGTAAGAAAAAAAATTCAAAATTAAATTGTATCATGAAAAATGTTGGTCAAAACGTGCCAAATTCTAATATTTTAACAATTTGAAAATCTTTATAACTCAAGACTTATTTTCTGAAATATACATTCATCCCTATATTCGAATGCATATATTATTGCAGTTAATTTAATTATCCATTCATATTGGCGATAATCTTTATCATATTTTATATTGTAATTATTATCCATATGCAACATCATTTATCATCAATTTATTTGAATCTACTATATCATAATATAATTAATATATAGGGCATGAGCTGGTATTTGGAGAATTATCTAGATTTGGTAGATATTTTACTATCTGTCAGTGATAAAGTAGGAAAAAGAAAGTTTTGTGAAAGCCAAAGGCGTATAATTTTGAGAATTATAAAGTTTTGCTGTCAGTCGCTGACATTTAATATATATAAAATATTATTTATATATTATTTTATTTTATTTTATTATATTATATTATTTTATTATATTATTTTATTATATTATTTTATTATATTATTTTATTATATTATTTTATTATATTATTTTATTATATTATTTTATTATATTTATTAATTTATTTTATTTTATTATATTATTTTATTATATTATTTATATAAAATAATATTTTATTATTTATGGGTCATTCCACGTCAATCGATCACGTATTGGCCGACCCCTTTTAAAATTGTTAAATTTATGGAATTATTTAGATAGGTTACATAAATGAGAAAGCCATTTATTTTAGTTCGCTAGCACACCTGGTTCCCTAGATAAGAGGCTCAAAGGTGCAAAAAGAGCCATTTTGGAATCTGTAAAATTTTTTAAATATTTATATCTTAAAAACTATTTATAGTAAAAAGATACATAAAATATAAAATTATAAGTAATCATAAAACAATAAAGATTGGCAAGGGAGTTTGTTTTCGTAATTTTTTTTATCTTTTTATTTTAACACCTTTCTTAAATATATATATTATGTCATAACCTTGGCGAAGCTATCGAGACTTTCAATTTATCAAAAATTGGAAAAAATAGATGGCCCTATAGGAAATTACAAATTTCAGGTTAAAATTTTGTTATTACCACTAACAGTATATTTTCACTTTTTATATTAAAAAATTTCCAATTTCTATTAAATATACCAAAAACTTAGGGGCAGTGTGGATACATGCCCATTAGACTGAAATCAAATTTACGATATTAACTATCTTTAATTTAATTTATTTATATTATAGAAATATAGTTAGATAATTATATTCTATCCATAATTTAAAATTTGCAGTCTGTTGAATTTGTATAAAATTTGGCCTCAATTTTATTCTGAGAAATTGGATGATACATATGTAATCTTTGCGTTTCAGGTATTGCACGCTCTTTATTGAATCTCTCTTCTAAAATTATTAGCTCTTTCTCATATTCGTTTTCCAAAATGTAAGAGAAATCTATTCATAAATAAAAAAAAATTATAATATATATAAATAAATAAATTATACCTTTAATATTTTCCTTACAATAGGCAAAAAAGTCTTTAGGGCAAGTTATTTGTTCCAGGCTCATACGCAGGAATTTAGTTTGGGGTGGGGGGGGGGGATAATAAAATTTTTAAGAAATATTATTGTTATTTAAAAATAAGCATAAATTTATTAGGACTAATAACTATTTCTAATACACAATTTTAAATTAATGTGAATTATAAAAAAATTATATGTAAAGAATCACTTAAATGACCCAAAATAGAAATTTGAATTTTTTACCTTTAAAATATATAAAGTATAAAAAATTTAAAAGTTGGAAATATAAATTAATACACACAAAGTTTCTTAGGAATAATAGTATTTTGTATGTTTTGAGCCATTTTTTCAAATATTTATCCTCACTTGGCGTTAAATGTATATGAATATTCAAAAGATCCAAATCATTCAATCTACTTTCAGAAGTTTTATTTCATATGTATGTTTTTCAGAGACTTTCATGCCCGGCTCCCGGGCCGGACCGTATTATAATTTTTTTAAACATACCCCGACTGAGGCCGAAATTATTTTTTAAAAACACCCGGGCTGGGCCCGAGCTGTATATTTTAAAATTAAATATTTGAAGCCATTATTAGCTATAAAAATTAATAATAAATATTATTTATTTTAAAAGAATTCGGGCCGGATCTGGAAATTTTATTTTCAAAAAAACTATGCCGGGCCTATAAATTTTTTTAAAAAAAACCCGTGCCGAAAAAATTTTTTAAAAAAATCCGGGCCATACCCTGTAAATGGTACCTCTGCAGGTCTCATAATATATAACCATTTTAATACATTGGGAATATAATCTAAAATGTGTTTGAAATAATGCAAAGCATCCATATAATTTTTTGGGATTTTATCAGCCATAGTTAATCTTTTAATCATAGTTATTCAGCTAATAAGGCATCATAAGATATTTTAACAATTCATGATAAAAATCTAACAAATATTTATTTTTTTTCCTATTACCATTTGAAAAAGGTTGGAAAGGCTTTGTGGAAGTCTGCGGATTTGTAAGTGCTGCATGATGAAATAAAAAGGGCATTTGTTTTATAATACTCTTCTATTGATCCTATATTAATGTTTTGACGATGAGGTTGCTTGTTGCAAGTCGAGGGGGACAAATATTAAACATGTATAGCTCGCTTTTGACTCAACAATCACTTATAAAATATGAAATTCTTCATCAACATTAGCTCTAATTTGCTTGAGTTCTAATAAAATGCTCTCCGCTATTCTCATCTTCTTAATCAAGTCAATGTCATGTTTTTGAAAAGTATTACATAAAATAGTTGTATAATTAAATAATACATTTTAATGAGAAAAATTTTTTTAATAAGTATTGAATACAATAATTTTCTTGCTTTTGAGAAAATATTTCTTTCAGGCCGTTGTGATATTTCAGTAATAGCATTAATAATCGGCTCTTCTAACTCAATAAAAGCGGTTACTGCTTGATGGTGAACACTCGATCTCGTTGGACAAGCTTACAATATCTTTCTCCCTGTTGGACAAGGAGTTTCAGAGATAATTATTATTTGACTAGAAATTTTGATAAATAATACGCCACTAAAATTTGAAAATAATAGGTAAATTACGCCAAGAAAAACTCTAAATCGAAATTAATTGATAATAACTTAGTAGATGAATGAATGTGATAAATAAATGTAATTAAATATATATACGAGATAGGAATAAATATTAACAAATATAAATTAATATTAACATTAATATTTTTGAAAAATATAATCCGGCATCTGCTTTTTTTGGCTTTGGTAGGGATTTGTCCCCCTGCCCACCCCCCGCTAAGTACGCGCCTGATTTGTTCTGAAACAGGTCTTATAAACTAGTCCTGGCCACTAAACGTTTGACTGTACCTCCGACCCCGTTATAGGCATATTTGCCTTGAGATGTCGCCCAGAAATTCCAGTCAGCTTTTATCTCGAAATCACCTGATTAAATTTTTGCGATTTTTATATTTTGTTGCTGCTCCATCTGATAGTAATTTTGGGCAAATTCATCAGTATTAATTTTGTGTTTTGATGAATGGAGCTAACACATATTGAATGGGTACCGTTGCTGCCAACTGATACACAATTCTCTGGGCGAAGATTACAAAATTTAGATAATCCAATTTTAATATTTTAATGAATATCTATAGATTAAAGATATAGCTATCGTAAATTAATTAAAATTAATAATTTTTGAACTTGAATCTTTTCACTATTTCTTAATATAGAAACAAAAATTGATTGCTAAATTTTTTTGGGTCATCCAGGGTATAATCATTCTTAGATTCTTGCGATAATGAGCATGTTTTTTAGATTAAATGGGTTGCAAAATTTTGATATTATAACATTTGGTACGTCCATCTATTATATAGAATAAAAAGATCTGCACCGAATATATGTTTTTGCATTCTTCAAATCCTGAATGTTTTGGTAGACAGACGATTGTTTAAAATAAATCTGAACGGGCAAGTAAAAAATATTAAATAGAGAGAGAAATCGTTTTAAACAGTTTATTTTGTTAAATAATATGCTCATAAAATATAATAGATAATGTCTAATAAAATATTGTTTTTTAATGAAGCTGTTATACATTATAGAGTGGATAAGTTATCCGCTATAGTAGTAAAGTCGAGATATAAAAAATGTAA